TTTTCTCGTCTCCCAACCAGCGCTCGAGAGGACACGGCTTCGGCCGTATTCAGCCGTATTCGGCTGCTTCCACTGCATTCGCCCCCCCCCCCCCTCGTACTCACGCGGTGCTCCGAGTACTCCGCACGACACCGCCTTCCCGCCCGGAGGCTGGCGCATTCACTACGTAGGCTCGGGCCGAACGACCCGCACGGAGCGGGCGAGGCGGCTGGCGGAGGCGTCGGCACCGGGGCTGCAGGGGAGAACGGTTGGGAAAGGAATGGCGGCACAGCCGGCGGCGGCGGCGGCGGCGGCGGCGGCGGCGGCGGCGGCGGCGGCGGCGGCGGCGGCGGCGGTGGTTTGGACTGCGGCGGCGGCTGGGACGGCGCCACCGCGCCCGCGTGTTTCCCTGCTGCCGGTGCGTTCGGGGTTGCGGCGGGCGGCGGCGTCGTAGACGACGCGGACGACTTTTTTGGCGGCGGTGGCGGTGGCGCGGCCGCCGCGGTCCGCGTGGCGCCGGCGGCCGAGGTGGCGGGCGGGGGGGCGCCGTTTAGCAAGTTGGTGGGGGAGGGCGGGGCGGCGGAGGGAGCGGTGGAGGACGCCGGCTTTGGAGACTTTGCGCAATCAGAGCTCCTCTCCGCGCCAGAGGCGCTTTGCGCCTCTGAGACGCCTCCGAGACACTCCGAGCCGTTTCCGAGACATGTCCCGCGATGCACCCAATCTCCCCTGTGTCTCCGAGTGCACCCCTCACCCCCCCCCCCCCCGTCTTGGCCATCACAAGATCCCGGCGCGCCGTGACACGTCCGTGACACGTCCGTGACACGTCCGTGACACGTCCGTGACATGACCGTGACACGTCCGTGACACGTCCGTGACACGTCCCGCAGGAGGGGAGCACCTCGGCCAGGCTGGGCGACCTCGTTGACGAGCCGTCTCGGCCAACCTCGCCGATGGCGCTGCTTGGCTCCTCCCCGCTGCCCGCCGCGCCGCCCGCCGCCTCCGCCCCGTCCGCCGCCGAGGCGCGCCCCTTGGCGGAGCTTGGCGAGCCCAGCGACGGCGTGCTGGAGGGCGGCGCCGAGGCGGCGGCGGCAGAGGGCGGGGCGGTGGCGGCGGCGGCAGAGGGCGGGGCGGTGGCGGCGGCGGCAGAGGGCGGGGCTGTGGCGGCGGCGGCTGTGCCGGCCGATGCGCCCGATTGGGCGGGCGAGTTTGAGGAGGGGGGCGGGGGCAGTGGGGGCGCCTCGGGATCGAGCGAGGCTTGGCCGGCCGGCGCCGCGACAGACGAGGCTGCGTTTGGTGATTTCTCGACCGATGTCGGCGCTGCCGATGATGCGTTCCAGGAGGGGGGCGAGAAGGTGACCGACGAGGAGTTCAACGCCCTCTTTGGCGTCACTGAGTGAATCTGAACGGCGGAGTGCTGCACCCCACATGGACATGGACACGCACAACACATTCTGCGGCCCTTGAGCGAGATCGGATCTTGTGAGATACGCGGGTTCGGATCCGAGCAGATAGGATGTTGGAGGTGTGTCCGGTGAGGGACGACGCGCCCGCTGGAGCGTGTTGTGCACGGTCCGTCCCCATCAAAATTCGGCCCGGTGTGCCTCGTAACACCTTACGGGGTGTGGACACCCACACACACCCTGAGTTGACCAGGGGTGTCCCCAGTGTGACCGCCACTCACCTGCTGCCCTCACCACGCCCGCGTCCGCACCATCGTCCCCCCTGAGGGCAATGCAAGTGCGCGGTCGCAGCTGCCGACCCCATTCCAGCAGCGCCTCAAGCTGCCTCGGACGCCGCCGCACGAAATGCCTCTCGACGGCAAGGGCAGCCACATGCAGAATGCGCCAACATAAGTCAAACGCATCCGTGGTACTTGCCGGCTCTGTGGGCGGGTGCCCAGGGATGAGTAACTTCACCTCCGGAACGCACAGCTATTCGTTTCACCGTTTGTGTTTTTCCTTTCTTGTGTTGTAAGATCCTTTCTTGTGCCTAGCTAGTTGATAGAGCTGGAAGGCTGAGCTAGCTGTCAAGTTACCTACTCAGCCGACGGCGCGCATGTTGCAGCGCAGCATGAGCTTTGGCTCGGGGCGTGCCCGCGGGCGCGGCGTCCCCTCCGTCGCGGCGGAACATGCTCCTCACCGCACGAAGCAGCTCATGAGGTCAACGTGATGTGTCTTCTGAATCTCTAGCAGCAGCTGGAGGAGGCGAGCGATTGCCGCGGAATAGAGGACCCCGTCCATACGAAGCAGCGCGTTCAGCTGGTGCAGCTGGGCAGACGAGTACGTCACATTCGCGTCGATCTCTGAGTGCACATTGCTGGCGACCGCCGTGTAGGAGGGCGTGGCTCCAGATACAGGCTTTGCACGACTGGCGGCATCGAGCCGGCGGGGCGCAGAGCCTGCGGGGGCACAGTTGCATTCCCGAGGCTGGAAGAGGCCCAGCTTGTACTCGAGCGCGCACATGCTGTGGAAGAACCAGTCACTGACACCCACAAAGAAGTAGCTTCGAGCGAGGAAGCTCTCGACCTCGTTGGCTTTGACGGCGAAAACGCTGGATCGATCGTCTGGCTTTGTGTGCGGAAGAAGGTGGTGAGCCTGCATTTCCATGACGTTGTAGCCTTGCGACGGCACTTTGCCGGCGATCATGTCGAGCTTCTCTTGCACGCTATGATAGCGGCCTCGGCGGATGTCGTGCTCAATAGCAGACCGCGCCTCCATGAGCGGATTGCGAACAAAGGTAATCAGCCGAGCATCCGACGTCGCGCCGAGAAGCCCAATGCTCAGGAGGCGATCGAACGTCCACTCGGCAGAGGCGACGCTGCACTTGCCGCAAGTGAAGTCCCTCGCGAATACGGCTTGCAAAGGCTCCCTGCCGCAGCATGTTTGCTGAAAGGCCGGGTAGCATACCGTTGTCGCAAAATCTTTGTACGTGGCGAGGCGATGGTAGACAGTCGTGCCCCCAGTTTTTGGCACGTGCACGTGGATGTACAGAGTCTGGTTGCACTTGGTTGATGACTGATAATAGTCATTCTCGTGAGTTGAGGAGAACGTTGCGTCGGCGAGTGGGCGACAGTTGCCGCAAGAGTCTAACCTCGTCATACGTGTATTTACACGGCTGGATCGACCACTGTGGGATTCTGACACTGGCGTAGTTCCCGCCACACAGAGAAGGTTTAGCACAATGTTTGCTTTGATGCGATTGAGAAAGCGCGATCTGTGCCCACCATCAGCTGTGCAATTTGACCATTTGCAAAGAGCGGTCACGGTGAAAAAGTCCACCATGGGCAAGCTGAATTGTTGTGCGCTGTCTATTGCTTGCAGATTCATTTCGCCGACGCGTGCATCCCTTCGTCGCCTCGGTAGTCGACTGGCACTCGATGTGAAGCGGCTCCCACTCACTCGCGTTGTTTCCGCTCTTCAACGCGAGAAACCATCCCGCAGCGCAGAGCTCTGAATGACGTCTGTTGTGCCGCCCCGAGAACGGGTCCTGGCGCCTCCGTCGGTTTTGATCGTCGCCCACGGGAAGCCGTCGCTGCGATTCCATAGCAGAGGAAGTTCCTTGTGCGGATATGGCATGAAAGTCACGTCGCTCCCCTCCACGGTAGTGGTATCGCTCTGCTCGGTTACGTCCAAGGCTCCTTCCGCGGCAGTGGTATCGCTGCTCTCCGTGGCTTCCTCGGCAACACGTGGTTGCCCTTTGTCCTGCGCCGCCACCCCGAAGCCAGCGTCATTCCCACCAACCAGCAGGCCCTGGCCCTGGCTTCCTCCAGAGCGAGTGGTAAGCACACGCGGCACACCAATGCAGAACAGCACGCAGACAATAATAAAGCGCCGCGGCACGAAGGACGTTAGCTGCTCACAACATCCATTGGCCGCTCACCGACCCCCATATGTTGTGCCTTGTGAAACCCAAGGACGAAGTCTTCAACTAAAAGATTGCAGCGATCGACACTTTCGTGCCATTTTTTTTAACTTCCTCCCCGATCTCCGCGAGGCCAAGAATTAGGGTGTACGTCGCCCATCCCGTGGGTCGGTCCGAGGGTGTTCCAGGAATGATCAGAATGGCGAGGGCCAGAACGTGTTACATGTACTAGTCAGAACGGACCCCAGTTGCCGTTCCCGGCAACTCAGGTTGAATATGTATTGTTTGATGTGTCACTGTGTGCCCCAACAACCCAACCCAACCCAAAAAGCACGATTCTCCTGTTGGGCCCTCGAGCCCCTCACCCTTGCCCTCGGAACACTGTGCCCGAGTCGAGGCGTGTGCTTGCCGGTCGACGGCCGCGCGCGGATTGGCATTGTGATGACGAAGGTTGCGCGCGGCCGCGGAGAGGACCTGTCGAACCAGCTGCTGCCCAAGAAGGTCGAGGAGTGGGCGCCGGGGCGGTGATGAGAAGGGCGAGAGAGTGAAGATGACTGAAAGATTTTTTGAGAGCGCCTTCGTTGTTAATAGTACAAACCCAATGGTCCTCTGCGAGCGGTCCTCCGTTGCAGTCACGCACACGCACACGCCATGCCGCACCGCGCGCCCGCCCACCGCCCCGCCCAGGCGGGAAAGAGATGAGGAGATGGGACAGCGAAGGAGGAGTACGAGCACGTATGGGAGGGTTCAGTAATGCGCCACGCTGCCCGGCGTCTCTCACTTTCCGGGACAGCCCCGCCCTTGTGAGGCGGGAGAGTGACGGCTACCCCGTACGCGCCTGTTGCTCTACCCCGACGCCGACCGCCCATTCTCCCCTCCTCGTTCCCCCCTCGAATGCTCCGGACCCCGACAAGCCGCCCGACGTTGGGCCTCTGCCCCGCACGCTCCCGCCCTTCTGCCCCTCACGCACACCCAGGCCCGACATGCACATACAAGACAAACCCGGCGTCCTGCTCTCAAAAGAAAAGAAAAAAATGGGAAGGAGGAGACCAGCGGGGGAGACTCCCCGCCTATGCAACACCCCAGAGAGGGGCTGCCATCGCCGAAGCTGTGCCTAAGCATAACTCCCAAACCCGCAGCGGCCCAGGGGGCCTTGGGGGCAGCCTGCCGGACCGCTGTTGCACGGGGCCAAGCACCGGAAGATGAGTGGAATTGATGGATTGGGCCGTTGACCGTGCCTCCCCTCTACTCGCATAATATGTGGGTAAACGAAAAAAGTAGCGCCCAATTCGTCTACGTACGGCTTAGTGTGTGGTTGGGGTGGCCTCAGGCATCCCCAAGGGAGCCTCTGCGGTGCCACATAAGCAGCTTAGTGATTGTCGAGACTTTAAGGGATTCGTTTGAAGATCTCGCAAACAAGACAGACACTAGGCACTACTATGGTCACCAGTAAACGAAAATTCGACTTTGAGGGATAATATCTCAACAGACTGGGTGAGAGCATAGCATTATTATTGCATATTAGGCCGCATAAGGTCAGACTTGACCCCACAAGCATCCAGAACCCGATGCTCCGGCTCGACTGTGCCGGCACACTGCCTCCTCGCGCACGCGGCTAGCAGGCCGTTGCGGCCCGTGGTGCACCAGAGAGAGAGGTCGACGCGTTGCCCCCGCTGGCGACCCCGCGCGGCTCAGGCCGGCCAGAAGGTGTGTGGTGACGGCACCGTGGCAGGAGTGCGGAGAAGAGCCCGCCGAACGCGAGCAGCAGATGGCCAAAGTGTGCCAGCGCGAGAGCCTCGCGAGCGGGCGCAGAAGGAGCTCGCCGTGACACGATACCGGGCGGTGGTGGTGCTCTGGCGCCTGTGCACAGTGGGCAAAGTCAGGCTGCAACAGGGCAGCACGATGGTAGTGCCCTGCTGCAGCCTGGCCTGACATGCACAGGGCGAACAGAGACACTACTATCGTCTGGCGCTCGTCACCGAATCTGGGCGAACTTCGACCGCCGCCACAGCTGGCCACGAGCACGCAGCGACAAAATGCTGACTGTACGGAAGTTGAGGCTGGTCGAGAGGAAGAGGCTGCCGTGCGAGCCGGCAGCTGGCTGGCTCGGGCGGACTGACTCCGGCGTGTTTTTTCGGCTTCTTCTTTCATAGTAGCGTATACGCTACTTTCGTTTACCCACATTCTGCGAGTATACGATTTTTTTACTGAGCACATGCGGTCTTGGGTCTGGTTGAGCCTCGTTGCCGTGGTCTCCGCCCGGATCCTCCCGCTTGCCGCCTCGAGGCGGCGGCAGCAGGATCCTCGCGAAGCGCTGCTCGCGGCGCGTGGCGGGGCCGGCATCTTCAACTCGCGGCGGCGCAGCGACGAGGAGGAGAGCAGCTTACAGCGGATCGTGCGAACGCGATCGGGCTTCTACCCGGAGGTGCTGCAGGAGCTGGAGCCGCAGGTCAGCCAGCCGGGCCGCAACTCGACCTTTTGCGTGCAGCAGGTGCAGGGCACCGGCGACTGCCTCTTCCACTCGATCGCCATCAGCATGGCGTACGACGACAACTGCACGCACGTCGACATGCACGACCCGTGGCTGGACGGGCGCGTGCGCGAGCTGAGGCAGCTGGCGGTGGACACCCTCACCGCCGACCCGAACTGCTCGCTCCATCTCGAGGGCGACCAGTCGATTACGGCGAGCGAGCTGGTCGCGGCGGCCGCCGAGCAGTACAACATGACTAGCGAGGACTACTGCTCGTCGATGCGGCGCAAGGGTGTGTGGGGCGGCGGGCCGGAGATCCTCGCGCTGGTCAACGCGATGAAGCGGCCGATCCACGTCTTTGAGCCGGTGGCCGCGTGCAACGGGACCGAGTTCCGGCTGCAGCTTTGCGGCGCGTTTGGCTCGCCAAAGTTCGACAAGTCCGGCAAGCGCGTGTGCATCATCGCCGCGGATGACCGCTTCCCAAAGTGCAAGCCCGCCGACGTCAAGCGGCACGGCGAGGGCGGCAACCACTTCCTCGCGCTGATCCCCACGCACGGGCGCGAGCTGCCGCCGTGCGAGTGAGGCCGCTGCGCCCGCGTGCGCGTCTCTCTGGACGAGGTGAGAGAGAGGGGGAGAGAGAGGTGTGGAGCCGAGCCGGGGAGCGAGGGACGGCTCGGACGGCGGGTAGGCTTTAGAAGCTCTCAGCTTGTGCTGCCGCGTACAGGGGTGCGCTACTCCTACTGGAACACCGAACTCAGCAGAAAAACCACACCGAACCACCATATCGGCGCGAAGGCGGCATCGGGCCTCACACCAGCCCCTCCACACAATGCCGAACCTGCCAGAGACGAGGTACTCCAAGCGCACGTCCGAGAGGATGAGCGCGGCCTTCTCCTCGTACGTGGCATGGGCCCGTGCGCCGCTTCATCACGTCGCGCTGATGAGGACTGGTCGGGCAGAACTCGTGCGCGTGGTCGATGATCTCGCCTTCTCGGTGGTGTCCGAGACGGCGTCGCTGCGAGTCGCGCGAGGGGGCGGCATGAGCGAGGGCGGCAGCATCTGCAGCCGCGCGCTCCCCTTGGTGACGGCAAATCGCTTTTGCTTTCGCGGCTGCAGCTGCAGCGTCACGCGCACGCCAAAATCATTGGGCTTCCGCGACCCGGCTTTGCCGATGGGCCTCGCATTGATGTTAGTATGCGGCATGCTCTCCAGGTCCGTAGCGATGCGAAGTCGACTGACTCCATCTCATTCGTGAGCAGCGCCTCTTTCTCGGAAGGGTCGACATTTCCACCCGTTTGCTAATCACCACGACCTCAGCCAGAGCCAGGCGCAGCGGTCCCTGGAATAGCTCCGATCGCGCGCAACTGGAGGACGCAGTGAGTGTCGCAAGGTTGTTCGGTGCGTCTTGTGTCAGGGTGATAAAGCCTGGCTACGCGACCATCGAGGTCGACCTGAAGCACGAGAAGGCCGCGGGCGACCGCGCGTCGGTGCAGGCGGCGGAGCGCTCGTACATCGAGCGCACCGCGCCGAAGAAGAAGGAGCTCACCAAGGAGCAGCTCGCGGCAAAGGCCGCGTCACGCAAGGCCAAGAAGGCCCGGCAGAAGGCGCGCCGGGCGGCGGAGACGGCGAGCGCGCGGCCGCGAGCGAGGCCGAGCGCGCGGACTACCCGCACGCGCAGCTACGCGAGAACGTCGAGTTCGTGATGGAGGGCCTGGAGGCTGCGGCCGCAGATCCTCCGCCGCTACCACGTGCAAGCTCTCCGAACCTGTAGTTAATTCTTCTCGCAAACTTTTGGCCGGGTTAGTTGTGCCACTGTGGCCGGGTTACATGTAGTTTTGTCAGCCCACCTGCCAACCTATGTTCCGGTGGAGCGCGACGGAGCCATGTTGTTCGGATGTGGTGAGTCGCTAACACGGGAAAATGTAGCGTGCAGGCTGGCGCTCTCTTCCTGGGCCATGAATGCCAGCACCCATGGTTCGAGGTGGACGAGCCATATTGGTCTGGTGGGACATAAAGGGCGGGATCGGTCGATCAAGCGTTCAAATGAACTACGTAAATGCGCTTGTGGAAAGTCAAATCATCGTCACAGTGAATCCAAACAACTGGGAAGGTGACTCACGGCTGGGAGAAGCCCTGGCCAGTGGAGCTGTGGTCTTGGTGGATCGGATGGTCGACCCACCTCCGCAGTACGGCCATGGACACCACTTGTATTATTACAGCTCGATACCAGACCTCTTTGAGCTGCTCGACGCCCTGGCTGACCCCCATCCAGTTCGACACCTCCATCCTGACCGTGGAACCCCAACTTCAACCGGTCATATCTTGGGCGGAATGGCACCTCAGGAGCTCATCCTGGGCGGTTTGGGGGAGTCTTGGGGGTGTACCTGAAGGTGGTAAAAAGAGTTTTGCATTGCAGCTTAACCGGGGGGCGTGCTGAGCAGCGTGAAAACAGCGGCACACAGCTTATAGGGCATTTTTTTTACAGTGTTACCAGAAAAGAAAAAAAAAGAAGGGCGCCGCAGGCGCCGGCCGGAGGCCGGGAACGGGCGGGAAGGGGAAAGGAAGGGAGTGGAAGGGAGAAGGAGGATTTAGACGCTCTCATGGCTATCCACTACCGAAGATCCTCCCATGCAGGCCAGCAAGGATGCCGGTCGCCGAGGCGCCACTGCTGGTTGCCGCCGGCTGCGCCCCCTGCTGCTCCAGCGCCGCAGCAGCCGCGTTCTCCTTTGCGCGCGCTGCCGCCCTCTTCGCCGCCCTTGCTTCTGAGTTACGTCGCGCCCTGTCGGCAGCGACCTGCTGCGACGACCGACCGCCACGCTGATCGTGCCCCCTCTTTTTGATCGGGCTGCGCCCGCTGCCACCGCTGCTGCCGCCACCGCTGCCACCGCTGCCTCCGCGCCCTCCGCGCCTTCCGCGCCCTCCGCGCCCTCCGCCACGTTGCGTACCGCGGCCGCCGCCATCACCACCTGCACTGCCTCGGCGCCGTCCACTGCCACCGCCGCCCTATAGAGGGCAAAAAGATCGATTGCGCTCTTGCCGATCCGCACCTACCTAGGCTCTTGGGTGGCGCGCCCCAGCTCTTCACAACGCCGTGTGTGCTGGCGTCCGGGTCCCAGCGGGTTTTCACGTAACAAGTACACACAACGAACCTGGTTTCCGCGCCTGGGCTCAGCCTGCTAACTAATCGATGTCGACGAGCCATGAAGGTCTTGCCGCGCCGCCAGCTGGGCTCGGCCTGCTGGTGCTTGTCGCATCAGTCGCTGTTCGCGCGGCGGCGCTCGAGCGCGTCGATGCCGCGTACATGCTGTGGTGCGGTCTCTTGCAGGACTGGAAAGCGTCGGTGGGCTGGTCACTAGCTCTGTGGGCCTTGCCGTTAGCATTGCTTCGCGAGGCAGCCACAGCCGCTGCTCTCGTTCATCTGGTCATCGACTTTGGCCTCCAAGCGACGGCCGGCATCCGGATGCACTCTGACGCGTGGGCGCTCGTCGTCGACCACCTGATCTCGGTCAGCAAGTGGCAGACGCTGCTGAAGAACGGAGCCATGGTGCCCGCCGCCGCGTGGGTCGGGCTGCTGTGCCTCATCCCGCTTGGCGTGTGCCTGCGCCTCGAGCGGTTCTGGCGGCCGCGCGTCACACTGCGCGGCGGTCTCGCCGTTGCCACCGCCACCGCCTTGGCCCTCGCCGCCGACCCGCCGTGCTGCCGCGACGGGTGCTCCGCCGAGCTGGAGCTAGCGCAGGCGCCAAACGGGCTCGCCGTCCTCCTCGACGACGCTTGGGCGGCGATCGGCCCGCATGCAGCGAGCGCCGCCGCCTCGCCGCCCCGTGACTCGGGCGCCGCATCTCTCAACTCGACCCTGAGCACGCAGCGCACGGCGCACCGCCGCCGCCGCCGCGGCGGCGGCGGCGGCGGCGGCAACACGAGCCGAAACGTTGTGCTGATCACTCTTGAGTCGGTCGGAGCAGTGCACGCCGGTCTGGTCGGCCCGGGCTTGCGCCGCACGACGATGCCGTTCCTGCACTCGCTGACGCGGCGGAGGAGGCCGCGCGTCGCGTCTGTGGTGGGGCGCCCTAGAGGCGGAGGACGCATTCTTGTCCTCCAGCTAGCGCTCGAGAGGACACGTCTTCAACTGTATTCGACCGCATTCCGCTGTATTCACTTGTGCTCGTACCCCTCGTATTCACGCGGTGCTCGGAGTACTCTGCACGACACCGCCTTCCCGCCCTGAGGCTGGCGCATTCAGCACGGACCTTAAGGTAGGTGGAGGACGTGTACGCGAGCGAGCCGAACACGCTCCACGCCTTTTACGCGTCGCATTGCGGCCTGCGGCCGTACCTCGGCGTGCGGCGCGCGGAGTACGAAGTGGCTCGCTACCACAACGCGTGCTTGCCGACGCTGCTGCGGCGGGGCGGCATCCACTCGGCGCTCTACTCGACGTCTCGCCTCTCGTTCCAGCGCGACCTCGGCTTCGACTCGGTCTGGTCGTCGATGCTGACTGACGAGGCGAGCAGCCGCCCCACCTACAACTTCCTCGGCCACGACGACTTTTCGGGCTTGCACGCCATCGAGACCTTCGTGCGCACGGTCGGCGCGCAGCAGCGCTTCTTCCTCTCCCTCCTCACGCTCAACACCCACTCGCCGTACACGCCGTCGGACCATCCGGCTGGCACCAAGCTGCTCTGGGGCTGCGACCGGCTCTGGCAGCGCGGCGGCCGCCTCGGCAACGACACGAACTTTAGCGTGCCGCTGCCTCGGCCCACAAACTACAGCGAGCGGGCGCTACGCGCCGCGACCGGCTCAATAGAGGGCGCGCGCGAGGCAGACCCGCCGAGCCGATCGGACAAGGTCAAGGCGGCGATGGAAAGGGACGCCTCCGCGTACGCGCGCGAGCTGCGGTGCGCCGACTCGTACTTGCAGGCGGTGTGGCAGATCCTGGAGCGCGCGGGCTTGCTCGAGGACACGACGGTGCTAATCAGCGCCGACCACGGCGAGGGCTTCATGCAGAGCCACCACTCCGACGCGGGGCACGGCGGCGCGGTCTACGACACGCAGGTGCGCATCCCGCTCGTCATCGCCGGCGCCGGCGCCGACGCGCTGCCTGCGAGGGTGGGCGGCGTTTGGAGCGAAACCGCCATCGCGCCGACCGTGCTCGAGATGATGGGAATGCCGCCCCACCCCCTCGCCGGCTCCGCCGCACTCCAGAGTATCATCGACCTGGAGGGAGGAGGCGACGGGGACGAGGAGCTCGAGCAGTCGGATCTGCTCGGGGCAAGTCTCGTCTCGCGCTGGCGCGATCCGCCCTCGCGCGCATACATGAGCTGCGCCTTTGAGAGCTCCTGCGTCGGGCTGCGGCGGCCGCTCACCAAGTACGTGTGGCGCGGCTCAGGGCGGGGCGACGGGGCGGGCGGCCACCTCGAGGTCTTCTACAGGGGCGACACATACGAGGAGATAGACTTGGCCTCCCAGCTGGACGCCGCCGAGCGGCGCGAGGTGGTGAGCAGCATGCTGCGCTGGGCGCGCGCGGTGAACGCGCTGCATGAGGGGCCGAGGGTGGAGAATCACGTCTGCCCGTTCGACTCGCCCTTCCGGTTTATCTTCCTCTTCACGCACTACACGCACTGCTGCCCCGTCAAGCCGACGAGCGTCCAGTACGACATGTACCGCAGAAGGTTCCAACGGTGTCCTAAGCCGCACACGCCAGTGCAGTGCAGCACGCCCCCGTGCGTCGACGACAGGAAGGCGGTCGCTGCATACATGCAAAGGGCGCGGAAGGAGGCGCAGGCTGCGGCGGACGCCCTGCGAAAGGAGCGGATAGGAAGACGAGCAGCCCGGGCGGCGCGAACGCAGGCGGGGCAGGCAGGAGAGGCCAGCGAGTCGCACCTCCCCTCCCTCGGGCGGGGCCGCTCCGGGCCCGCAGCACCAAAGCGCAGATATCTGCCCAAGCGCGGAGACGAGCGGTCCCACGTTCCCGACGACGCAGCAGGCGGTGCAGTAATACGGCACCACGCTGCCGCTCCCGCAGCAGCCCTCCGCCGGCCGCACGCGGAAGCGCGCCCGCCCGCCCGAGCCCGCCGGCACATACCCGCCCCCGCCGCCTCCTTCCGAAAGGCCGACTCTCGTACGCGGCCTCCGCCCGCCAAGCCGGTTGCGCCAGACCGACGAGGCAGCAGCGATGGCTTCAGTCAGGACTCGCGCGGCCGATGGCGCGCCGGCGGCGGCAGGGCGCCGACGCCGGAACAGTGCGAGAGGTGTCGGCAGCAGCACCCCACCCGCCGTGACTGTCTCGACTGCCCCCCGCGGCGTGGCGGGTCGAAGGAGGCGGGTGTTCTCCGCGTGCACGGCGACGTGCGCGCGTCTGAGGCCAAGGAGGGGAGGAGGCGCCGCGCAGCACGGGGGACGCGCGACTCCGCCGTGACGGCTCAAGTGACGGCGCTGAGGCAGGCGATCAAGGAGACGACGGCGGCCTTGAACGCGTCGGCGGCGGCCGTGCCCGGAGAACTGGGGGAGCGGATGGCGCTGATGCAGTACCTGAAGGGGCACCCGGACAGCCTCCTGCAGGCGGCGATAGAGCAGCACGTACAGACGGGGATGGGGATTAAGTCCGCCCTCACCGCTGGCATCGAGGACTACCGCAGAATGAATCTCTCCATCAGAGAGCGGGGCTTATAACATACAAGAGAGTCTGATGAGAAGAGAGGCTGATCGGTACGGGCTATTTATAGATTGTTATTTTGTGTATCGGTGCGCACCGCCGTCTCAATATATCTATAGAGCTAAACGGCCCTCTCCCTTCGCGCTCCCCGACGACGGGCGGGGGCTCAGGGCACAGGGGGGACACAGACGCGCGCGCAAAAAAGCAAACGGGACGGCCTGCGCAGCCTCTAACTATCAATGTGCGCTCTGCCGTGGGATGGGGGGGAGGGGGGCGTGGGTGCCAGGGCCGTCGCAGCACGGGGGCGATTATATGCATAGCGAGACGAGGGAGGGAGCAGGACTTTTGCGGAGATCAGCAGGAGGACGTACGAAGAATATTAGGAGCAGCAGGAACCCGATCGAGGGACCATGTGGAAGACGGCCAGTGCTAGTCCCCACGATCGCGGATCGGGAGCACGGGAGCGGACGCGACCCCCGGCGTGTACGGCTCTAGTCGCCGACCCACGGCACCCACAAAGAACCCTGCACAAAGATAGCCATCGCACGGGCGGGGACCTGTTCCTTTTCGACGCGCGGTATGGAGCACGCGCGCTGCCCGGCATGCCTGCAGCATCCAAACGAGACGCACGGCGTCGCTCAGCCGTGTCCACGCGGCTTCGCTCCTGTCCTAACCGGCGCCATCTGGGCGGCTGCTGCGGAGCTGCTGCCGGCGGTGCGGCAACTGGCCGACAGATACAACGCTCAGGGCACCCGCCGGCGATTCACTGGAAAGGAACGAAGGCGCCGCTGTCGGCGATTCACCGCCGTTCGTTCCCGTCTCTCAAGCTGGCTACACCGTCCATGGACGAGGGAGACGTCGCCTCCTCTTTCGTCCCGGGCACTGTTCGCGCCGGAAGGCACCGTACACTGCGAAGTACATTAGCCTTCATCTCTCCTACCGCCGGCCGGGAGTGCAGCTTTCGCCATCGCTGAGTGAGTTTATCCTCGACTTTGGCACCTGCGAAGTAATGAACAACATGCAGTACGTCATATGCAATGGCGCTATATGACAGCCCTGCGATGGGCGTCCTCGACGCAGACGAGGCGGAGCTCATCTGCACGGCGCAGATCGCCGACTTTCTCTCTCTCCCTGCGCGAGTGGTTGCGCCACCGTGGATGAGGCATATGGGCTGGGCAGGGGAGTTGGTAGAGGAGGTCGACTGAGGGCGCGAGGCCGCCAATCGTCACAGTCTGCTGCTGACTGTCGGTCGCTGACTGGTTGCGCATTGCGCTGGCCGCGCAGCGGCCTTTAGAAAATTTTGGCCGCAGGCCTAGGTTTTGAAAGATCAGGAGAATAAGCGCCGGTGAGTCTTTCAGAAGCTGCCGTTTGCGGCTTCCTAAGTCAATTTTTCGAGAGGAACGTTTTGGCTGAGCTATAACGGCTCCAAAGTCGCGCGATCATCGAGTTTTGAGTCAATAATTATGAAAGGAAAGGGCTGGCGAGAATTATAGCTCAGCCAATCGATTCAGCGTGCTCTGAAACGCCCAAAACCGTCGAGTTTTTCACCGTGGTCCAAACAGAGAGCTTAATATTTTGATTTTCTTGGCCACGGCCACGATTACCCGTCACTCGCTCTGTACTATGTGTACTCGTCGATGACCTTCACCTTCCTGCCGTACTGCGCGTACTGCCTCGTCCTCTACTACGGTATCGGGCACCAACCGTGCCGCGGCGAACTCTGCGTTGTGGGTTGTGCGTGGTAGAAGCTAGAGACGCACTATTTTTCACCCTAGAATTGGTGCTAAAAAGAGAAACTGTGATAGTCAGATACACGGGGCAAAAACCAATATCGCAAAACATACGCGAAGACCGAAGTGATCAAATGGCAATGAATGGGGGGCGGACGACGGCGGGAGGAAGTTTGAGCAGGAAAACGCGTTGCCTGAGAGTGTGTCTGTCTGCAAAGGCGCAGACGGCCGACGCGCGTGCAATGAGAACCTGAGACCGTGGAAGCGCAGAAAGCCGCCGTGGCGAGGCCAGTGCTTGCTACCGTCGAGGCTGCCCGTCATGACACACACAGCGTTGCATGTCCGCCGGAACCGATTCACCCGCGTCGCTGCATGTGACCTACCTGCGCCTCATTGAAGGAGTGTCCATCGACACTGACTCTGTGGATCGTCCCGGCAGCCTCCGCCTCGGCCAATCCTGCCTTGAAGGCCTTGAATGGCTCGCTCTGCTGGTGGGTGGCCAAGTCTGCCTTAGTCGCATATCGCTCAAACACGCACGCCACACATTCATCCTTGTCGGAGAGGAGGAGGTCGTAAGCGAGTGTGTTGGGCTCGTTTGCCGTCACCCACTCTGCCAGCGGTCGGAACAGCTCACCGAACCGGTCCCTCTCTGCGGCCGAGCCAAAGGTCATCTTTATGGAGAGCACCCAGCCCATGTGTCTCTCACGCCAGGTGTTTGGCAGTCTGGGAAAAAGAAAGAAACTTGGCATACGTGTTTGTTCCTCCTTTCCTCGGGCGCATACTTTTTCTATATTCACACATACTATACTGTTTTCACACCGATCCTAATACGCGATCGCGCAGGATATGCCATGTCCCACTTGCGTTTGTTTTTTTCTGTTTGATGCGTTTTAAAATCAATGTGTGCGGCCAACAATACACCGGCGATCATTTTTTTAAAGACGCTCCTGTTCATAGTCTGCGCAACCCTAGAAAGCTCCATTTTCTTCTTTTCAGCACACGCTGGCACAACAAATGACGTGTGAGTGCGTTAGAGTTGTTTGGGCGTGTGAGTGCGTTAGAGTTGTTTGGTATTGCTAACAATCTCTCTCTCGTGTGCGATCGGCCCCAGTCTCGAACTGGCAGCCACTATCTCACCGGAGGTACCATGTCCGAGGAGGCCACCGGCCAAAAGCGCAGGCTTGGATGGTGAAATTCACTCAGCACACCTAGGCCCCTTACAGGTTTGTAATAGGAAACAGCGTTGTTTCATAACATCGAAGGCTAAGCTAAAAGTAAAAAAAGACGCCAGAAATCCGTAATGGCATCGCCGGGCACCTCCTCATCCCACGCCGCACTGGTCAAGGCGGCGTTGGAGAGCGCGCGTGCCAAGGGCCCCCTGTCCGAGCATATTGGCGCGATGAAGACCATACTGTACAGCGACGGCGCTGCAGCGGCGGCGGCGCGGCCGGGCGACAGCCTCACGCAGGCGGTGCTCGCCACAGAGCTGCTGGCGGAGCTGATCGTCAACCTGCCCGACCTCGAGTTCGAGTGCCGTAAGGACGTGACGATGGTGTTCTCCAATCTGCTCCGCCGCCAATCGGCTGAAAAGGCTCACTCCACATCACCTC